TTTTGTCTCTAGTGAAAATGTAGTAAAAGAATCTGGTGATAAGTCAGTGGAAGAGTCCGGTGCTGGTTTGATGGAAGAATTGGGTAAAAAGTCTATGAAGTTCGATGAAAGAGAGAAGAATGTTCGCAAGTCTGCTAAAAAGAATAGCTTATACTGATGAAGAACCTGGTTCTTCAAAGAGGGCCAGAGTTGGTGAACCAAGGAGTGCTGGGAAAGAGAGATTAAGGAGCCAAAAGGTGCTATGGGGCCGCATATTTGCCCCTGATATATATGAGGAGGCTGGTATGAGATAGCTGGTTGAGATTTGTGAGTTTCAATAGTAGACATATTTGTTCACAAATGATGCTCCAAAGGTGTATGAGGAGGAAGTTCAAAGTTTCTATGCCGACTTATTCAAGGTTGAGGATGATCACATCTGTGTGCTAGTGGATGGAGTTGATATGGTAATGGACTCTACTTTATTGGGGTCTATTCTTGGTGTGCCTGCTGAAGGGTTGTCCAGTGTTCAGGGAACCTGTTCTCAAAACTTCAGAAACGCAATCTTAAAGGACAAAGCAGTTCAGCAAGGGGAACGTGTTCAGAAGAAGGCCCTACTTCCTGTATACCAACTGCTATTTGAGATGGTGAACAAAGTATTGCTGCCTCGAGCTAAGAGAAGATCTATCACCTCCCGTGCAGACCTATTCCTCATGGAAGCACTGGACAACTTCACTACCATCAATCTGTCTGGGATCATGATAGATCACATGAATAAAGTGGCAGACTTTAAAGATGGTAATCATGGGATGCCATATGGGTTCCTTCTCACCAAGGTCTTTGAGCATTTCAAGGTTCCTCTGGGACCAGCTAAAGTGAACACCAAGAAGCAAACTTTCTCCAAAGCTACCCTTGAAGAATGTGACTGTATTGAGAAAGTTGGAGGAGTTGGAAGCACTTCTACCATATCTCAGTTGATTAATGCTCAAAACAGTGCTACTACTGAGATAAGGCAATTGAAAGCAAGGAATGCTATCCTTGAGACTCAGTTAAGTCAGTTGCAAGAGGCACCTGGTTCCAGTAGCTCTCAAAGTGAAGAGGTTGCTCGTCTGACAAAAGAGAACGCTGAGCTCAGGAAACAAGTGGGGGACCTAAAAGAGAGACTTCTCAATGAGCAAATATTAGCAAATGCTCGAATGGATTTAGTCCTCCAAACCCTTGCCTCTGCCTCCAAGCCTCTTATTTCCAGTGCTCCCTAAATATTGTCCCCTCAGTGTCAAATCTATGATCTAGTTTATGGTCAAGTCCCTCAGTGTCAGTTCTTATGATGATATGTGTGGTAATTTTTTTTTGTTGATTGTTCTAAATGTTGCAGTAACATTGACTCTGCTCCTGTTGAAAAATCCAAATTATGTTAATGCAAGCTTTTCCCTTTTTGGTATTTATACCTTGCTATTATGCTCTATTTTTAGTCATGATTGTGTGCACATAAGTGGCATGAGTTAACTTAAAGCTGGACTTCTTTATTGCTTAAAAGCCTATTACTGATCTTTTTATTATGCCAAAAAGGGGAAGAATAATTGCATAACTGTTTTATGATTGTATTATGATGTGCACTAATTAAGGGGGAAAGCAGATTCAGGGGGAAACTTAAGGTCTTTCTGCTTCACTGTCTAGTTCTGTGTGGCTCTTTTTGGGATTTTTAATTATGAGTTTGTCATCATCAAAAAGGGGGAAACTGATAGGTTACAAGTACCTTGTTTACAAGTATCTTGTTTTATGTTTTGATGATCTAATAAACTTACTACCAAGAACCAGATAAGTAACCTGTTACACATTCTCAAGACCTTAAGATCAAAAGGTTCCAGTTTGGGATATGGTTTAACTCTTCAGAGTCGAAGGAACAACTGAGAGAACAGGTCGCTACTAGCTCCCGAGGTAACTATACGAAGTCAACTCTTTAGCTGGAAAAGTTACTGCCTGAACACGCTATAGTACAAGAACAGTGCAGCAGTCAACTTTTTGAAGAAGGCTTTTTACCTACCTTGATTACATCATTGTAAGTGACGTCACACGTGTATTATTAACATCAACGAAGGTAAAACAAAAATCACCTGAACAGTTAGAGAATTTACTCAAGCTCTCTCACGTGATTGATTATCCAGCAAGCAATTCTCAAGTGCATCAAGAACAAAGAACAAAACAACTACGGACCAGTTCCCACATCAAGTTATTGTATGTCCTTAGTTGAGTTGTAACTTTGTAATAGTTCTTCAAGTCAAATTCCTACTTAGCTTGTTTAGAAATATTCTGTAGGAAACCCTTTGTAAATCTTAAACCCTTGTGTTTGAGTCTTGGCTAGAGTTAGTCGAGTTGTAAAGTCTTTGTAATAGAGTTATAACAAAGTAGCTTGTAATATAGTATTACAAGTTAGTTAGGGATTAAGAGGTTAATTCCTAGGTTGCATAGGTTATAATCTAAAAGTTGCTCAGTAGTGAAGTTGAAATCCTACAAGGGTAGGTCGTGGTTTTTAATCCCGTTGAGCTGGGAATTTTCCACGTAAAATTCCTCTTGTCATTTATTTATTGCAGTGTGCGTGTGCTCTGTTGAACCTGATAGAGAACCTGGTTCTCTATAGAGTTTGGTAGATCCTTAAATTCTATCAATTGGTGATGGAGATACAAAGGAATCTGAACCTCAGTATGAAGATGGATCTAAAAACCATTAAGAAAATGACAATGATCATGAGGAACAAGAAAAAGGAAGAACTACTCTAACTACTAACCAGACTAATGAAGCCACACCCACTGAACCTGCTCTTTTGGGTCACTCCTCGGGTGAATCTTCTCTGGGTATATAGATCAAACCATGAAAGCATAAAAGTTCACATCCTCTTGAGAAAATCATCTCTGATCCAAATACAGGGGTGCAAACCAGGTCTTCTCTAAGAAATCTATGTGCACTCACAACATTCCTCTCACAGGTTGAACCTAAGACCATCAAAGAGCCTCTAAAGGATCCAGACTGGTTCATAGCTATGCAAAGAGCTAAATCAGTTTGAGAGAAGCAAGGTCTGGAACTTGGTACAGAAACCCAAGAACAGAACAGTCATAGGTACCAGATGGGTGTTCAGAAACAAGTTGGATGAACAAGGAAATATCATAAGGAACAAGGCCAGATTGGTAGTTCAGGGATACAATCAAGAGGAGAGGATTGACTTTGCTGCCCACATGGTGTTCACCTTATATCAGATGGATGTAAAGAGTGCCTTTTTGGATGGTTATCTGAAGGAGGAAGTGTTTGTCAAACCACCTCCTGGATTTGAAAGTGAAGAATTTCTTGACTGTGTTTAAACTAGATAAAGTTCTTTATGGACTGAAACAGGCTCCAAGAGCTTTGTATGAAAGGCTCTTAAAATTCCTCTTAGCAAACAACTTTGTAATAGGAAAGGTGGACAACACTCTATTTTTAAGGAGTAGAGGGAAGAATATTCTGATTGTGCAAGTGTATGTGGATGACATTATCTTTGGGGCTACAAATGAAGCAATATGCAAGGAATTTGCTGAGATGATGGGAAATGAGTTTGGAATGCAGGGTGAATTGAACTTCTTTCTGGGGCGGCAAATCAAGAAAACACCTACGAGAACCATGATACATCAGCAGAAATATATCAAAGAACTACTAAAGAAGTTCAACATGGACTTCTCTAAGTCCATTGACATACCCATTGCAACTGCAACAAAGCTGGACCATGATGAAGAAGGGAAAAGTGTGGAACATAAACTATATAGAGGAATGATTGGGTCACTGTTGTACCTCACAACAAGCAGATCTGATATAGTGTTCAATGTGAGATTATGTGCATGATTTCAGGTAAATCCTAAGGAATCTCACCTAAAGGCTGTCAAAAGGATACTACGATATCTAAGGGGACCCCTAACCTCTATCTATGGTATCTCGGAGGGTATAGCTTTGATCTAGTTGGTTATGCTGATGCTAACTATGCAGGTTTTCATGTTGACAGAAAAAGCACTTCAGGAACAACTCATTTTCTCGGTTCTTGTCTGGTGTCTTGGGGAACCAAGAAGCAAAACGCAGTGACCTTATCTACAGCTGGGGCTGAATATGTGGCAGCAGCATCCTGCTGTTCTTAGTTGCTATGTATAAGACAACAACTAAGGGACTATGGTATATTTGTTGATTGTGTTCCAATTTTTTGTGATAACACCAGTGCCATAAACATTGCTAAAAATCCATGTCAGCACAAAAGAACCAAGCACATTGACATTAGACATCACTTTCTCAGAGACAATGTTGAAAAGGGGAATATCTCAATTAACTTTTGTTAAACTGAAGATCAAATTGCTTATATTTTTACTAAAGCTCTAAGTAGGGATCACTTTGAAAGGAATAGACTAGAACTAGGTCTAATCAACTCTTCCCACTAAGTTGAATGAAGTGATTGGCTAGAAAAGGCATAATTAGATGTAGATAATTAAGTACAATATGTTTGATTAAACTTTGTTTGTATTAAGCTCACACACTTGCTTGGAAAATCTTGTTGATAACTGTGTTGTATGATTCTAATAAGTAGTGTTGAAGCTTTATTGTAGAAACAAATAAGGAATTGCTAAGAAGTTGGTTCTTTGACTCAGGTACGTGCCATACTGTCTTAAGTCACTAGGACTTTATATCCGAAAAGTATTGCTATGCTCAGACTTTTAATTCCATTGGAATCACTTCCATTCGTCTTCTTGTCAAAGAGTAAGCGGGAATCCTAGTGCAATTAGAGTTCAATTACTACTGAAATCCTAATAGTCAAATTAACCATTATAAAAGACCCATTTGAACTTAAATTCGGTCACCATCTCTCGTCCAGTCAAATCAGGAGTAACGTCTTTAAAAGGCTCTTATGATCAGCTTCTCAGACCTTACTGTTTCTCTCAAACCCTGAGCAAGAATCAAGAGCAATTATCAAGAACTAATTCTCCTTTTCTCTTCTTCGAGTCTCTTATCAGATCACCATGCCTAAAGCCAGTCAAACCCCCTCTAAAGCCAAATCTTCAACCAAGGCTGAGGCAAAACCCAAAAACATGAAGCCCAAATCAAAGAAACGTGCAAGTCATCAAGGGCACCCACACCCACACCTGCCCACACCCACACCTGCTCCTTCTCCTTCGATATCCTCCACTATACCTACATCATCATCCCCTGTTCCTGCTGTTCTTATCATCCCCACCTCCATTATACCTCATCCTCCAAAACCAACCACCCATGAACCTAAGCTTACTACGAAAAATACCTCTAGTCAACAAAGGTCAAGGCCACTCAAAGAAAATCTGTCAAGAAAGTGCTTGATGCTGCTACGCAGGGTAACACTGTAGCCAAGTAATCTGTGGTTCAGGGGGAATCAGTTCCAGTCATTACTGATCAGGTACAACATCCTCCTTCTAAATTAGATATTTTGGTGTCTGTTGTAGATGTTGCACCTCTAGATACTCTCCCACCCACGGTGAGAAGCCATAAAAGGAGAAATTCACTGTAAAAAAGGGTGTAGGTGATCTGGGGAAGGACGTAGATACTATTACTGTGGAGCCTGTGGTTGAGGGGGAAGTAAGTAAAGAACTTGTGCAAAAGGAGCTTCTGATAGCCTTTTTTTTAGTTGGACTGAGGATGAGAAAGATGATGGGAGTGAAAAAGAAGAAGAAGTTGTGAACAGTCATGAGGAGCATGATGCTCAAAACATCGCAATTGAAGAAGAAAAGAGTGAGAATGAGGGAGCACTGGAGATGAGAAGGAGAGAGATACAGATGATAAGACAGGGGAACAACTTAATGATTCTGCAGAAGAAAAAAATCATGGTGAAGAAGAGGATGACTTTGAAAGTGAGGGCGAGGATCAAGAAAAGGTAAGTGAGAGTGAAGGAGGTTATGAAGAGAGTGAGAAAGAAGATGGGAATGTGAGTGAGGAATCTGAAGGTTCCATGACCATTGGGAACAGTGTCATAGCCCCTTCAGAAGAAACTGGTGAAGAGACAAGGGCCCAAGAACTTGGATCTCTACTAACTACTTTCACGGTAGATGAAGAAGTTAGCAGTGATAAAGATGATATACCACTATCTGAAGTAGGGAAGAAACCCATAAAGACCCCTATGAAAGCTACAAAGTTAGCAGTCCCAACAAGGAAAGAAGTGGCTCCTCTTGCCAGAACTCATCTTACAAGAAGTAAAAGAAAGGTTGTTGATGCACAAATCATTAAGGAGTCTAGAAGTGCAAAGAAGCCAAAGAAGAAGGTCTCAATTATGGAACATGTTGTTGAGGTGGATAGAGAAGATGAGTCTGACTCTGCATTGCTAGCTAATCTTCTAAACCAAAGAGAAAGGGTACTAAAGTTACAAAACCTGCTACCCCTTATGCAAGGGACAATAAGGGTAAGACAAGAAAGAATGTGCCAGCTGCAGTTGATCGAATCACAGAGTTCAGGAACGGAAAAGTGCTAAATGGGAAGATTCTTGTAAACACTGATGAGAAGGGAATTGCTCAATTGGTTGAAAAGTTTGAGCTACAGGGGTGGAAGCACATGTTTGTCAAAGCTTTCCCCCAGTATGTGTTCCTACTGTGGTGGAGTTCTATGCAAATTTCAACTTTGATGGGAAGATAGTCAAGAACCAGGTCCTCAATGTAGCTGCTTAATTGTTCTGAAGAACCAGATCCTTAGGAGAAAGGAACCGCTCCTCATGTTGATACTTGTATGTCTGTACAAGATAGTAACTTTAGCTCAAAGTTACCAAGGTTCGAGTTTGGTAGAAGAAGGCTTCTATATGTGATACGGGTCGTTTCTCAAAAGGATACAGATAATTCAGTCAGATACAAAAGTCCCAAAGCTTGTGGAATCCTTGGAACAGTAGGAGTCTAATCATAGAGGAAGCTGACTATGAATAGGACTCCTAGAAGATCTCAAGTTGAAGCGTTTAAATATGATCAACTTTGGACTTCTGAACTATCCTTTTACACATCAACTAAAGAGTCATAAGTTGTATACTCGAGTCAAGTACTTGTGTTGTATTCTTCCCGAGTCAGTCTAGTGAATGTGTTTTAGAAAATTGAGTTGTAATCAAGTGTCATAATCAATTAGTGAGTTGGAGTGAGTGTTTTGCTTTACAAGTTAGAGTAACTTGTGAATCACATAGGAGTAGTAGGAGTACGGGAGAGTATTTAATTACAGTCTTGTAATCGGTACATTTTGGCTCATTGTTCTAGTAGAGTTGGAAAAGAAAATCCTACGTGGTAGGTCGTAGTTTTTGCACCTTTTGAGCAGGGTAATTTTTCACGTAAAAATCGCTATTCATTTTATTGCTTATTTACTTTACGCTTAAGGTACACGGTAAAGAACTAAGTTCTTTAGTAATCCATACGGGCACTCAAATTAACATGATATTCTACTAAAGATGTTCCTGGTCGACTATATTCTATCGAGCTCTTTTGTTTACTTGTATCAATACCTTTGAGTTTAGCTCGAGTAGAAGCTTATCCATAATCATCAATAAAATATTTGCAGCTTTTATTCTCTATTTCCTGCCATTATTTATAGTTTGTCTTGCATTTATGTTGCTAGTGCCTTAATTATATACGTAATTGTTGATTTTTTTGGCATTTACAAATTAAAGTTATAGATTGACAGTATTAAGAGTTGCCTGATGATATTATAATAAATTTAAATATATATTAATAGTACTTGTATGTACCAAAATTTTAAGTTATCACTCATGCTTACTTCGAACAGTACCGGTAGCTGGCCTCCAAAGAACTTGACAACGTTAAAAAATAGTGTGATATTAATGCATATAATTGAAATTTATTTGTAATTTGTTACCAATATAAGGGGTCTAATTTGTGGCGTCCAACTATGAGAGAGTTCAAATGAGGAAGGAATTGTTTTAAACTTCCCTTTCCTTCCTTGGGTGTCAAGTTTAAATATTAATCATTCAAATTTCGGTCATTAAGTGTGTTTGTTTTCTTCTAAGCATCCCTTGTTGATTTTGTTGATGTAAAGTTGAAACAAACGGTGGTGGACTTTCAAAAGTAGACAGGTTTCCTTTGCATGCAAAGCTCCATAATTGGCTAGATTATCTGCCACACAATTTTGCTCCCTATAGATGTTTTGAAGAGTGGGACTATCCAGCTGTTGATCTTATCATTAATTATATTTATTTTTTCAATTTTACAAGTAAAAATTGCATGGGGTGCCCTATTTGGTCGCCCCTTTTTAACCCGTAGCCGCTTTATTTTTCTGTTTGCATCCGTACCCGTTTTTTTGTTAAAAGCCTTTTAAAAAGATGATTTTGCCCTTCTTTATTAAAAGACTACTTTCTCTCCAAGTATACGCCAGTCTACTGTCTCTGTCTCTTTCTCCCGTTCTTCGCGTTTTTGTTTTGTTCTTCTCTGAAATCAAACGGTTTTCGTCATTCTTCTTGATTTTTCAACTGTTTCGTCATTACGTATAATCACAGGTACATTGCATTAACTTTCTGGGTTTTATTTTAGTATTACTTTTATGATTTAATTTTTGATTTTTTTGTTGATAGTCATGTTAGTTGAATCGTTTCCCTTTTTTTATTTATGATAAAATAGTTTCCTAGGGTTTACTTTGATTAGTGCATTAGTTTTCTAGGTTTTACTTTTACGATTGTGTTTTTAGGTTTTTTTGAACGTGTGTTTGTGTTTTTGATGAAAATTCTATAAATTCTTCAGTGATTTTTGGAGACGTCGAAATTTTTAAAATTTTTGAGAGAGTGTGAAGTTTATAATACTTCAAGGATACCTTAATTTTAGGAGCTGAAGTTTTGTTTTGTGTTTTGTGTTTTTGTTATATTTTTTATCAACTTCAGCATTATTTCGAGTTGAATTTGTGTTCTGCTTTTGTAAAAACTACAGCATGTTTTTGTTGAAGTTTTGTTTTATAACTGGTGAACTTCATCATTATAGGAGCTGACGTTTTGTTTTGTATTTACTGAACTTCCACATTTAGGAGCTGAAGTTTTTGTTTTATATTTGCTGAACTTCAGCTTTCTTAGAGCTAAAGTTTTAACTGATTTTTTTGATAATGTTCTGACGTTATTTTTCCTATCTTTTACTTTTTTTGAACAGATGGCATCTAAGAAATCTAAATCACCTACAAATCCTAAAGCACCTAACTTCCAGTTGTGTCCATTTTCGCTGGGTATTACAGAAGGGACTGGTTCAGAAGGTAATTTTGCTGCTGATGTTGTTGGTGAAGAGAGACAAGAACATCGTGAACAGCAGGGAGTTGATCAAGTATTATCCACCATGGCTGTGGATTTTTCTCCTGCTGCTGAACCGCAGCAGTTACTTGTGACGGAACAGCAAGAAGAGCAAGCAAAAGGATAACCAGATAAAATAGGGAAAAGGATTCGTATGGAGAGTATTTGGTTGTAATCTCCTTACGTCATTCCTAAACAAAAGCGAAGGGGGCAAGATTGGAAAGTAGGAAAGACTACACGAAGGTGTCCCTTCCATTATGTTAATCAAGACAGTGGATTGATGCAAAGATTTACAGACTGGTTGAAGACGGATGCCAGTGAATATAATTCCAAGCCATTCAGATTAGCTGGAATTGATATTCCAAAGTCATTCTTTACCGAGCTTGTGGATACTACCTCTGATCTTTCGGATGAAGTAAGTTATTAAGTTTGTTTTTCGAATTGGTTTTCAACTGTATTTTCCAAAACATCAGCTTATTTTTTTTTTTAAATTTTTGTATTGTAATTTGGTAAACTTCAGTTTTATGCAATGTAAAACTGCTGAAGTTGTTTAGCTTATTTGCTAAAACTTCAGACTAAACTTGCTGAAGTTTTTGACATGCAGTCTCTAGTTTTTTTTCTAAACTTTAAATCACACATGCTGAAGTTTTTTAGATTATTTCCTAACACTTCAAACTAAATATGCTTAAGTTCTGTCATGCAGTTTGTAGTTTTGTAATGTGTTTTTTCTAAACTTCATACTTATGCATGCTGCATATTTTCTTTTGTTGTTATTCATTTGCAGCATATTGAAGTGGGCGTATATTTCTCGCGCAAAAAATATTGCTATCACCTTCCAAGTTATCCAAAAGCAAGATGTGCAGTAACAAATTTAGTTTTTGATCAGTATATGACTAAGTTCGCTAGTGTTCATCCTTCAGATGAACAGAAGGAGAAAATTAGAATAAGGAAGGAAAAGAGAATGGAGAAGAAAAAAATGGAAGGGAAAAAGAGCAATTCAAAAAGAAAGAGGACAGCCAAAAAATAGGAATGTGAGGATTACGAAGAAGAAGAAGAAGTGGAGATTAAGGATCGTACCGAGTTTACTTGGCTTATTGAAGAATCAACTGGTGAAAAGGTGGCCAACTACGTAAGAGGCATTGACCTTTCATATGTTATCACATGGGCATTTGCCGAAAAAGTATTCTTTCCATTTCGACTTAAGCCAAGGTCGGGCCAGAGATCTACGCACTACTTTTTTGGAATTCTGCACTTTAAAGATAAAACTATATATGTGTATGATTCCATCAGCAATACACTATATGAGCGTGCGGTTGAACATGTCCAAAATTATGTCAGGTTGATCCCACACTGTCTCAAATGCTTGGACTTTGGCACACACAATAAAATTTATGGGGAAAATCCTGTGGAAAAATTTAAAATTAAGTGGATGAACACAAAATTTAAAATTAAGTGGATGAACACACCCCTACAGGATAACAAGTATGTGTTTGGCATCTATTTTACCATGCATCTTATGTTTATTATTTTTTCTTCTTGTGTTATCTATTCTTCAATTCTTTTTCATATTCTTTTTGTAGTGTTGATTGTGGTATATTTGCTCTTATGTTCATTGATATGCGGTTGAAGCAAGAAGATGTCTCCAAATTCAATAAAAATCAGGCGTTGACATTCAGGAGAGAATTGGCTGCAAATCTTTGGGCTCATGAAAAGTGAAACAAGATAGCGATTATGAAACTCCAGAAGAGCAACTAGGACATGACTATGGAGAATATGAAGATACTGTATGTGAATTTTTTCGATAGAGAATAACTTGTAAATGAAAAACAAATTTTTTCTTTTTTCTCAAGGATGTAAGTGAACAAAAAATTGAATTTGTAAATATACATTAATTTTGTGAATTATATGATCTGCCTTTTAAATTTTTGTTCTATTCGCGTTAATTAGCCTTTTAGTTGTCTTGGATTGTATCAAATACTTTTGTCTCTTTTATCATGAACTTAAGTATATTTTTGTGAAAATTCAGCATGCTAAACTTCAGCATGAACTCAATAACTTCTTCTTGTTTAGGCTGAAGTTTAGGAAAAAAGTGTCGACTACATGACGAAAAGTTCATTAGCATATTTAGCATACTAGCATATTAGCATATTAGTATGAAGTGTTAACTTCTGCATGTTTAGTGTAGTGTTAGGAAATAAATAAATAAAAAACTTCAGCACGTTCAGTCTGATGTTGTAGCACATGAACTATATAACTTCAGCATTTTTTTTCTGAAGTTTTTATGGGAAACTCATTGCTAACCCTCAAACTGCATGACAAAACGTTAGCACGTTCAGTTTGAAGTTTTAGCACATGAACTATATAACTTCATCATTTTTGCTCTGAAGTTGTTATGGGAAACTCATTGCTAACCCTCAGAATGCACGGCAAAACTTCAGTGCCTTCGGTCTGAAGTTTTAGCACATGAACTATATAACTTCAGCATTTTTGTTCTGAATTTTTTATGGGAAACTCATTGCTAACCCTCAGAATGCACGGAACAACTTTAGCACCTTCGGTCTGAAGTTTTAGCACATGAACTATATAACTTTTCAGCATTTTTGTTCTGAAGTTGTTATGGGAAACTCATAGCACATGAACTATATAACTTCAGCATTTTTATGGAAAACTCATTGCTAACCGTCAGAGTGCATGGCAAAACTTCAGCATGTTTTGGTAGTTTTTTATATTGATACTTATCTTTTTTGCATTTACTAGCTACTTTTTGTCTTTTATCACCTACTTCATCTTACCTTTAAATTTGTCTGACCATACAGTAAATGAGTTGAAAAAGTTACTATTGCATTTACAAACTTTTCAGGCTGAAGTTATTTTTTTACTATTGAAAAACTGTGGATTAGGCTGAAGTTACTATTGAATTTACAAACTTTACAAGGCTGAAGTTACATTTATTTATTTTTTTTGCATTTACCACCTAGTTGTTTTGTATTACCGCCTACTTATCTTGATACATTCAATTTCTCTGAACGTAAAACAGTAAACAGCTGTGAAAAGTTAGCTTTGCATTTATAGATATTCAATTGATTAGGTGCAATCTTTGGCTATATTAACAATCTCTGCACTTAAAAATTTCATATTCATCCATAGACTTCTATTGTATTTCTTTAAATTTATATTCATCCTTAGCCTTTTAGCTTTTTAAAAGAAACAATGTCTGGTGCTAGGAAGTAGGAAGCTTACAATCGATGAAATTATACAGAAGTGTAACGTACCGGTGGCTAATCTTATGCATAAGTGGAATCAAATAAAGGTTGATTGGGAAAGAATCAGAGCACAGTTATTTGCCGATGAATCATTCCAGAACATGCTGAATCTCAAACGCAGTTTTGAAGGTTATTCAACCTCGATTGACAAGATTGTCCAGCAGTTTGATTGTTTTAAGTTTCCCATCTAGGACGACCTTGCCAAGCTGCAAAACAGCTTGAAGAGTCTTCCTTATCTTATGGACAGAGTAATAGTTGAACAAAGTCAGTTGTGTGATGAATTTAACAAGTTGAAGTGTGATCTCATTGGACTTTGTGGTCTTTTGCCCGAGTATCCTATAGTTATCTCTAATTCGGATGATGATGAGATATATCGAGAAATTGAGGAGTACTGTTCTGAGGATGGTGATGATGCTTAGTTTTTGTAATCTTTTTTTTTGTATTTTTCTTTTGTGTTTTTTGTTAATATTTTTTATGGCTCTTCTTTTTGTTTTGTCAATGTTTTGATAATTGGTCGTGTTTTGTGTATGTGTTGTTATATAAATGAAAATCTTGTTACATTTTGATTTTAATGTAATAACATAGTATGTCAACATAAAACTTCATGCCTTATAAGCTGAAGTTAGCATATATAATTTAGAAACTTGAAGCTTTATGATCTGAAGTTTATAGCTTTCGATAGTCACACTTTATAGGCTGCAGTTTTTTTGCATACATTTTCCCGTTAATAGGCATATATAAGGCTGTAACTATATCTTTTAAGAGGCAGAGTTATATATGCGGAGATTTTATTGTTCATTTCATAAAACTTCACACAAAACATGCTTAAGTTTTTGTAATGATTTTTTTCCAAACTTCAGAGAGAATAGGCTGAAGTTATTTAGTTCATTTTCTAAAACTTCTGTCTAGTGATGCTGAAGTTTCGTTACACATATGTTTGTGTGTGTGTGTGTGTGTGTGTGTGTGTGTTAAAGATGTGTATTTCACTTACAGTTTTTTCTCGCTGAAGTCATTGCGTACTTTTTTAAAATGCAACCAAACCATAAGTCGCGCAACAAAAATGAGTGGTTTGTACTTCAAGTAATATATAAAAGAGTATTTTTCAATCCAAGAGCTTTTTTTTTATTTCTACAAAAACAATCACATTTCACATATATCATTCAATAATGAAAGTGTAAATTTAGACCAAGGATTATTGAATGTTGGAGTATTTTTCAGCGTGTTTCTTGGAATATGGATGAGGTGGTGGAGAAGACAAGCAAGTTGTTCTATTATGCCCAATTTATTTACAGCGGCTGCATTTGGTAGACTTAAATGGTACTGATTCAGTTGCAGGGAAATGCCTCTTCTTTTGTCTTCTTCCTTGTAAAATCTCTGCATCGGGAGGTTTTGTGACTTCAGATTCTACATTTTGTGAAATATCTCATGAATTTTGGTCTCCCACAATATTCACATGTCCTTCATATGTTTGAACCATGTTTCCCTTGAATACCATTTTGAGCAGTAATAAGGTTTCTACAAATATCTCTTATTAATAGCAGCAATTCTGTGCAGACAGGGCAATTCATCAAGTTGGAATCCAAGCAGTCACAAGTTCTCTTTTTTAAGTCCACAATGAATTCCATTCCTTCACTATTTATTCTAAACAACATTGAATCAAGGTTGAACACCTAAGAAGGAAAAAAAGTAAAAAAAACTATATTAGTGTATTATTGCTTCAAAAAGAAAAAGTATGAAGTTTTTTATATGTAAGCAGAAGAAAAACTTAAGCACGTTTAAGTTGAAGTTTTAACAAATGTACTAGAATACTTTAGCTCATGAAAAAGCTCTTTTGGTATTAACTTTTAGCAAATGAACTAAATTT